AAAGTCGTCTGTTAATGGCAGCCATTTTGAATGTACAAAACGATACCCCAAAGCTGTAACGTCGCGCTTATGCAAATCGATCTTGTCGGATCAGGCCATCAGGCGTGCGGGTGGCGTCAGACGGGCTAATCATGAGACCATGTGATAAACACTGCTAATTATTTGGAATTGTACATCTATCTAGACATGTGGAGTGTCCGGAGCGTCAGTGCGATACCAAATTATCCGCAGCAATTATCACGTGGCCTCGTGATGCCATCGCATCACAACTCGAGCAAGAAGATGATTTGCATAAGCGCGACGTCACAGCTTTGGGGTCATCGCTTCGTACATTCGAAATGGCTGCCATCAACAGACGATTTTCGCGTGCATATGGGCTCCAGAAAGATTTAAAAAAAATTCGGAAAATTGGATATTATTACACCTAAGCATCTCAGAAGTGAAAGCTAAAACATCATAAAATACATGTAAGAAAATGTGCGTAATGTTTTTGAGAACCTCCTCAGTAGTGTGCAATACCCTGGTGTGTGGCTAGAGGTTCAGCGCAGCATACCTCGGCCACACTAGTGGGGCTACCCACACCACTCCCACCCCGCGCTGCCCAAGGTCTGATATCGGGATTTGGTCACGTTTTTCATGCCCCAGGGTGGGGATTTTGGTCACTCAAATTTCACTGTTAACGTTGGCGTATTAATGGAATTAAAGGCAGTCACTTATTGTCACTTCAATTTTGCCCGAGGGGTGGGGATTTTGTCACTTCAAAAGTGACAATCCCTACGTCTTTGGTGGGTCAGCCCGAGAGGGGAGAGGTGGGGGAAACAATTGATAGGCGCATAATCAGAAAGTGCTGCCTTTATCAGATGTCTAATTTTTGTGAAATTTCATGTTGAAAAATTGCAGCACTGTATTAAATTATTATTATTTGTGCTGGTTTTAAAATGTCAGGTTGGGTCGCGGACATTTAAAAAAAAGAATACGAACAGTATGCACGTCTTTTTGCTGAATTGTGTATTAATTCCTTGTTTATTTTTGTAGATCTGACTGAGTTAATCTTTTCCGGTTCAATAGGTAAAAAACAAAATTCCAACTTTTTCCCAAGAGGTATGTGGAGTTCAGTCCATGAAAAATAGGTTGTTTGCAACTAGCCCGACTGCATCTGACCGTACAGTACTATCGCAAGCTCTGTAGTACAGCCAGACCGCCAACGCTCCCCTTAACGCTGAACTCTAATGTAGCGACTTTGCTACCAATTTTGATCAAAATTATATATCTTCTCATCCAGGACAAAAATTTCCAAAGTTAAGTTTCCTAGTCAGAGAGGAACTCATACCTTTTCGAAAAAACGTTCTTTGGTCCCAATATTTTCATCCATCTATCTGGCCAAAAGACATCATCTTCCACAAATATCGTTCCCGAAAATGTCCTCCATGCGATTTCAAAATGGCGGCCGCGTTGTAATGTATGCATTATGCCGACGTGCTAGGGCATTGCAGTTTATGATGTTTGTCGGGCGTGTGGCGCGGCTGGCCTATGGCCATACAAACATGAGGTCATGAACTGAATAATGCATATTCATAGTACTGTACAGGAATGTACAATTTCCATTGCGTTTGTCACTTTTGCAACTACATGTACATGTACAAGTCCAATATTTGCTATCATTGGTTCATCACGGGCTCTGTGCGCCAATGAAAGAGGGCGTGTTTTTACCACTTTTGAGAGCCACTTGAGAAGAACTCACAACTTTCTGAATGTGCAAATTTAGTAAATAGCAACCGTGTCTCCGCATGAGCGAATACGTTCGAATCAACTTGCAATGGTACAATTGTGGGGGGCGATGTTCTCGCTCCCTTCCTATTTATCATAATTGTTGACTACCTGTTGAAGGCGGCGTCGTCAACCGAAGATTCAGGAGTTGTGACTCACCCACGTCGATCTAGGAGACATCCAGCCAAGATGTTGAATGATTTGGACTTTGCCGATGACATTGCCCTACTAGAATCATCAATATCTCGGGCTCAGTCACAGCTCTCCAGGACTGCTACAGCAGCTGCAGATCTTGGTCTTACGATAAGTGTCACCAAGACAGAATACATGACCCTAAATTGCAACCATCAGCCAACACTTGAAGTTTACGGCAGTCCCATCAGCCATGTGTCTGACTTCAGATACCTGGGATCCATGATGGGATCCAGTGCTAGTGATCTGAAGAGGCGAAAAGCTCTGGCCTGGTCAGCATTTTCGAAACTGGAACACCTTTGGAGGAGCTCAGTTATACCAATATCTACCAAAGTGAAGCTGTTTAAAACAACTTGTGTTACAGTACTTCTGTATGGTTGTGAGACATGGGTCATCACACATGATATGGAAGATAAAATTAACGCCTTTGCAACATCATGTTACCGCATCATGTTGAACATCAGGCGAATGGACAGAATTCCAAACACAACTATCTACAACCTGACCAACACAGTCCCTCTTGTAGTCCAGCTAAGAACCCGCCAGCTGAAATTCCTGGGGCATGTTCTGCGCATGCCCAACGATGAGCCGGCGAAGGTTTATGCACTGTACACTCCACCGCATGGTAAAAGAAAGCCTGGCCGACAGCGAACATTATATTCAAGATATATCAAGAGCCTTCTTGGAGACCATGAGGGTTACCTGCAACCGGACCAAATTACATCCTTAGCCCAGGATCGCAGCAACTGGAGGAAACTTGTGGTCGCCTGCTCCGCAGCCGATTGAATGATGGTACAATTGTACAGATGTACATGTACACTGAGCCTAGCACTAATGTGTACGCTAGTGTGTACGCTAGTGCAATTGGACACAGGATGTTCATGGTGTGTGGGATATTGTTTCCGTGTAACGTTTTATTTTTATTATTGCACTTTTGTAAATGTACTTTAAAAATAAAATAGGCCACGCATGAACTTCATCATCGCACATATACGCAAAGATCCTCAGAATCACATCACTTTGTTAGTTCTCTACAAAGATTTAAAAACTAGAAACACCCATCGACCCCTGAAATGTTAAACTTTGTTTTTGTTTTTCCTTTCATTGGTCGCAGCGAGCATGTGTCATTATCATCGGAATGGAAGTGGGCTCCGTGCACAAGTACCCCTTCAACAGCCAGAAAAGGAGAGTTGGGGGAGACCTAGATCGGTTCCTGTCCATACGGTCCATGACCACTGCATATTTTGAATGATCCAAAGTTATTTGGGGAGGGGGACGGGGTGATTAGTCTGCGAGACCATCGAAAGTAAAATTCAAATATATTCATGTGCCGACGACGCCTGACGCTCATGCGTGAAGACGCTATGGCTTAGCTTTGTGCACATTCAGAATAAATGAGTTGTGCGTACTTCGCGCATGATGAACCAGTCCAGTAAGGTGTCCCATCCAAGTGGCTCTCAAAAGTGGTAAACACACGCCCTCTTGTGTTGGTGCACGGAGCACATGATGAACCAATGATAGCAAATAGTTGTAGCACATTGCGAAACAAATGCAATGGAAAATGTACATTCCTGTGCAATGTGCCCCTTCTTCTCTGCAAGCCTTAAGGAACTTGTTAAACATCTAGTGAAATGTCACCGAAATGCCCTGCGATTTATCGTGCACTGCAGTGTAGTAGGTTGTGGAGCATCATTTAAAAACTACGGCAGTTTTAAGTCCCATGTCAGCAGGAAGCATGACAACAATGATATTGAGGTGTGTACTACGCAAAGAGAAAATGATGTTGGAACTGAAGATTTTGAGGATCCTATGGAGAATGCAGAAGATGAGTTTGAGAGCACACATGATCATGCAGCATCCTACTATATGCTGAAATTGAAGTCGATGTGTTACATGTCTGAGAGTGGACTCAACGAAGTTCAAATGTCAACTGAATATTTGGTCAACCAGAAACTTGATGAACTAAAAGCCAAATTATGTGAGACAAATAAATTAACACAAGAAGAGATTGATTGTTTGGTTGGTTGCAAACAACCTATTTTTCATGGACTGAACTCCACATACCTCTTGAAAAAAAGTTGGAAAAAAAGATTTAACCTAATAGAACCAGAGAAGATCAAACTTGGTGAGATCTACAAAAATAAACAAGGAATACACAATTCAGCAAAAAGATCATTATATCGTGTTGAAAAGGTAGACGTATATGGTTGCTATGTACCCATTATTGGATCACTGCAGGCACTGTTGAAGTGTCCGTCTGTGAGTAAACATATCATGACACATACAGTTACTGACTTTGGATCAGACTTAATGGAAGATGTGTTCGATGGATTGTACTTTCAATCAGATCCATACTTACAACAGAATCCACAAGCACTGGCATTTGCTCTGTATTCGGATGACTTTGAATTAGCAAACCCAATAGGAAGTCATCGAAAAACTCATAAATTGACTGCATTCTACTATGTATTGTTGAACATTCCTCCACATCTCAGAACAAAACTTGAGGCAATCCAGCTTGTTTCTATGGCAAAAACTGCAGACTTGAAAACATATGGATTTGGCAAGATCTTGGAAAATTGTAAAAAGTGTTTTCAACAACTGTATGACGGAGTAGTAATGACAACAGTTTCTCCAACGGGTGCCAGACAAAGAACACAAATCAAAGGAAAGCTAGCCTTTGTATTAGGTGATACCCCAGCAGCACAGTTGATGGGAGGATTTAAAGAGGGAGTAGGCAAAGCATACAAGCCATGTCGAACATGTGAAGTCACGCATGAAGAACTAGAGAACAACTCGATAATCATTCCATCACCACTGAGGGATGAAAATGAACATCTTGAAAGGTGCGAGAATCTAACAAGTGAAATGACAAGACAAGCCAGAAAATACTGGTCAAAGATGTACGGAGTAACTAGAAGATCAGAATTTTTGGATGTTCCAGAATTCAAGGCAACAAAGTGCATTCTGCAAGACCCTATGCATGTCCTGCTGGAGGGGATAATTCCAATGGAAACTAAACTACTACTGGTTCACTGTGTTGAAATGAAGTTCTTCACTATCGCAAAACTTAATGCTATCATTAGGAGCTTTGAATACACGCGAGAAGAGAAGAAAGATCAACCTGTTGAAATTTCACGGGATAATGTGCAGTCTGATAGCAAGTTACAGCAAACTGCTCAGTCAATGAAGAACCTTCTTGTGCTCCTTCCTTTCATGATTGGAAACTTCATACCAGAAACAGATGAGAAGTGGATCAACTACCTAAGACTGATACAAATTACGCTGCTCACATTTTCATCGGTAGCTTCAACTCGAACTGTGAACACACTGAAGCTTCTCATCGCAACCCATCATTCTGCATTTAGACGTCTCTACCCAGAAAGGCCAATCACACCAAAAATGCACTATCTCAGTCACATACCAAAGCAGATATGTGATTTTGGACCAGCAAGAAATCATTCGTGTATGCGGCTAGAAGGTAAACATGGCGAGTGCAAAGACAAGAAATATAGAAACTTCAAGGCCATCCACAAATCGGTGACTGTTCAACACCAGTACAAAATGTGCTTGCAGCAGTTCAATGCTGATGGCTCGGCCTCACATGCATACCTTTCAGAGGATGACATTGTTAAGGAAGGGCATACTTGCAGTATTGCTGACAGAGAATTCCGCCATTCTATGATTCAGAGAGAGTATGGAGATTCAGAGGATGTTTGTGCACACCAAGCATTGAAAACTACAGAGCTAATTTCTCGTGGTCATCGATACACAGCTGGCACCATACTGATAAAAGAATGTCCCCAGTGGGAGTATCCAAAGTTCATTACAATTGATGAGATCCTGATCTTCAACAAAGCCACATATTTTATTTGTGAGGAACTAGAAACAGTTGCTTTCAATTCACATCTTAATGCTTTCAGTGTTGCCAACACTGGTGAAGTGAAAACTGTGGCATTGAAGCCAGAAACTGACCTAACATATCACTGGCCCCAGCTTGTGCATACAGTGGACAGGACCAAGTATGTGATGCTTCAAAATGTTGATGATGTATGGCAGTTGTAGCAGTAGGTGAGTGAAACCTCCCTACCCCACTGCAAATGCTATGTAGGGTTAGGATAAGAGTTGAAAGAGTGTTATACATGTACATGTACTTACCCAAGCACTTAACCATACTTGTAAATTACATTTGCGCAAGAATATTGGACATTGATTCTAAAAATGATTCTTGTTAAAGAGATGTGCAAGAATAAACGTCATTTTCATTAATCAAAGTTTATGCAGTAGATTTTTTTGGGAGAATTTCATGGATTCTCATGAAAACCTCACTGGAGAATAAAAATAGATTCCCAAAATCTGCAGAGTCAATCTAAACTTGACGTACAAGTAATTTTTAAAATAAAAGTGGATATGTAAGGAAGCAATGGAATAACCTATTGTTTTCTTTTGCAAAAGTAGTTCACTGAATGAGGTTACATGTACTTGATTTACTTACATTTAGTTGATTTCTGTTGCATATGTTGCAGAGAATGGTGTAGACTCTTCAGTTTTTCTCAGCCTTACTGAAGATGACCTTTTCAGAATGTTTCCAGGGAAGGTGGGATATGTCAGGAAGGTGATGATGGTAAGTTATAGTTATTAATTCATGTAATTAGGCAAAAATAAATAGTTCTGCTTCTGGTTTCCTTACCAACCCTATTTCTACCTTTTACTACACGCAGAGGCCTCAATTTGATCGTACACAAAAAACAATGGCAAAAACACAATTTCCCTACCTACTGGTACCTACCCTTTTTTTAATGTCATGTAATCGGAAGCAGAAATATATATAATATTATTGGCCTTAAACGAGGAATGCACATTGGATGGTTCCGGATACTTCCCAGTTCTACCCGTGTCCAATATGGGAACCGGAACCTCGAGTCCAATCTTTTCAAGAAGCAGGTACCCGCTACCCTTACAGAAATGTCCCATGTAATGCCCATGGGAAATTTTCCCATGGGACCCCATGGGAATTGCATGGTGAATTGGACACCATGTAGCATGGGATTTTTCCCATGGGAGTTTTCCCATGGGAAATTTTGTATGGGCTTTTTCCCATGTATGGTTTCCTTTCATTTCTCAAAAAAATTTATTGCTCCATGGTATTTTTCAATAACAACTTCCTATACATTTTAACCCTGTGTGTTAAGTGCTATTCACCAATTAGGTAAAGCACATCACGGAACTCCGATGGGGGTTGTTCCACGTATTAGGAGATGCTTGTGCACTCTATGTTTAAGTCCACATTATTGCTCCCATACCACTTGTCAAGTTGTACCATATTATCACAGTGTTCCCAACTTATTTTCTCATAAATGTTTCCAACCGTAATAATAAATGAATCAATATTATCCAAAGTTTGAATGACACATTGTCCACATAAAAAAATACTGTATGCATCATTTAACTTCACTTATCAACAGAAAAATTCAAAAATGTGCAATTACAACACTCGTTATTGTAAGGGATTCTCACAAAAATGTCCCATGGTGGTCCCATTGTGTCCCATGGTGTCCCATGGTGTTTATCCCATTGTGTTCAATTGGTGAACATCCACAGGAGTTTCCCATGGTCAGCTTAACAAATAGAATTCTTGATAACCTCTATGGCCACAAGGGAAATATTTTTAATTGAATTCAAATTTACAGCTAGGCGAATAAGTAATTAAATCAAAGAAAGGTTTGCCTATAACTTGGGAGTGCAATTGGGTCTATGATGGTTTTTCATGGCACATGCATGTTCTTCAGTATAACCCGGCAGTGTCCCCGTGCTGCCTTTTAAATCTCCATGGTGTTCCCATTGTATCCATAATTTATATCACCCACATTATGGTGTTCCCATGGCGTCCGAATCCTCATGGTGTACCCATGTGTCTAAAATCGATCCCCATATCCTCATGGTGTACCCATGTGTCTAAAATCCCCATGATGTTCCCATGGTGTCCAGTAAATCCCCATGGTGTTCCCATGGTGACATACAATCCCAATGGTGTTCCCATGGTGTCCATAAAATCCCCATGGTGTTCCCATGGTGTCCATAAAATCGCCATGGGGTTCCCATGGTGTTCCCATGGTGTCCATAAATTCCCATGATGTTCCCATGGTGTTCATTAATTCCACATGGTGTTCCCATGATGTCCATAAAATCCCCATGGTGTTCCCATGGTGTCCGTAAAATCCCCATGGTGTTCCCATGGAGCTCATAAAATCCCAATGGTGTTCCCATGGAGCTCGTAAAATCCCCATGGTGTTCCCATGTTGTCCATGCAATCTCCATGGTGTTCCCATGGGTTTCCCATGATGATCATTTTAACTTACATGGTGTTCTTGATGACCCCATGGGTTTCCCATGGGGTCCCATGGGAATCCCATGGGACCCCATGGGAATCCCATGGGATGCTCATGGGACATTTCTGTAAGGGTATGCTCGCTTCTGGCTACAAAAGAATCGGCTACGGAGTAAATTACCAATTCTCTGTGCACACAGCCCAGAGCCAAGAATCTACTTATTAGGAATTCAATTGCACGAAGGCCCTGGACATTCTCTCTCGCTAGTCAAAACAACGGTGGGGAAAGACACACAGACTTACACATGTTACAAGGAGAGTTGGAGACAAATTATCAGCCGAGTCCTTTTCCGCTTAATTTTTTTGCAGCCAAGAGGCATAAAGCATTGAACCCAATTAATACTGGCCCTGTGCCATGGATACTAAACGTTTTGAATGACACAAGTGCTGGATTCCATTATGCCATGTACATTTTTTGTATTGGACACACAGTGATTGATTGATTTTGATGGACTTTGTCCAGTTCCTATTTGAAGATGATAGGGAGTTATAAGGTTAAAATTTTGAAGGATTCCTACACTCTTTCCTCTATAGGTTCAAAGTGAACCTAATGCACCTCTTAGTGCAGAGGAAGCCACGGGCCCAGAAGGTGATTCTGATCTGCCTGGAGTACTCCAATCACCAGATGTGAGGTCACAGCTAACAGCAGCTCCAATGGCCCCAAGGATCTTGGACATCAGCAAGCTTTCAAGTCCGAGTATGGCGTCTGTTGGTGCAGGGGGAGACGATGTAGCAGAAGAGGCGGGTAGTCATCAGGATCTAGAGTCTTCTGATGTTGCCCTTCAAGGAGGCTGGAAACCCCAAAGAGTAAGTATTTTATTTAAACTGCCGTTGCATGTTGATCGGTCAATCCATTTCTAGCAAGCGCTCTATTGGCGGCTGACACTGAAGATATTGAAAGTATTCTTTTTAATACCTTCAAAGCATCGTGAAGTGGTAATGTACATGACATGGCATCAAATGTCTTGGAAGTTGCAAGGAAAGCCTGACACCAGTGAAATTTAGTTTAGTAGGATAATCGCTCTGCACATAACTGGATTATTCTTCTGTGGATCTTAGGGGGCCTAGTGTCCAATTTTATAATACTCTCTTGCTTTATACTGACCATCACTTCCGGTTTAAGGTAGGGTAATCATTTGTCATTTTTGCAGGTTTTCTGTTTGAAGCAACAAAAGTGCTTAAAATCTAAAGATGACGTATATTGCTTTACAATTACAATTATTGAACTGATTAAATTCTATCTCAGTGAATCTGTATGTATTCATGTTTTGAATTACTCCTGAAATAAGTGTCTGGTACACCTTCTCATTCAACCGATTGCAGCTACACTGCACTGATCGGACGAATAAATGTAACAACCGGGCATGTGTGTGTTGTGTCAATGCGTGCGTGCACCCATTCATGGATTGACACATCTTTGAAAGCGGCTTTCTTTTATTGTTTTCTTCAAAATGACTGCTTTAAATCCCAAACTAGGTGGCCTAGGGCATACAGCAATGTAATTATCTTTTTATTTTATTTTTAATTTTTGTATTAGCTCCTATGTGGAACATGTTCACCACACCGCAAACATGGCCACAATACTCGGACCGTGTCGTGAGTGCACTGAAAAGTGGGAACATCATGGCAAACTGGGATGCACTCATCGCAGAGACCGCTTACTTCATTTTGAAACATCATGACATGAAAGCACCATCAGAGTACGATGATGTATGAAGGCTTGTCAGTGAGCGTTGGCCTTGCATACTCTTTGAGGAGCATGGCAAAAAACCATGGGTATGTATACATGTACATATTTATGTCAAAAATTGTTCGCTGATATTATTCACTTACATCACATCCATGCTCATGAACGTCTTAACCAGTTCGTGCCGGGATTATTTTGACAAAAAACGGAACAACTTGAAGACGGGGGATTTATTGTCACTCGATCTCAATGCCAGGCGGGTTGCAGCCATCACTCTCGGGTAGCACACTGATATTTCCGGCCTCGCTTGCTGTGAGCGGGTCACTGACAGATATTTCCAGCCTCGCACCCTGCGTGTTTATCTGTCATTTGTTCCAAATACCACAAACCGCTAGCGTGTATACACGCCTCCAGTGCGAACTGGTTTAATGTGGGTGTTCCAGTTTCCAGGGCTGTGCCAAATATGCTGCGTATGCGATGATCAACTAAATATTCAAATAGCTTTTTGCCAGTTTGAATATTCGAGGGAAAAAAATCAACTTAAGTGATGTTACTGATTGTCTTAATCATAAAGTTGCCGCTTTTTTTCAGGTAGCACTTTTTTTGTTGACAGTAACTTTTTTCTTGATGGCATTCGTTGTTTTAATATCACATCATTTTAAAGCCTGTTGTGCAGATCTCATTGAGAAAATGTAAAACTGTGTCTTTTGTGCAACATCCAAATTCCATCATCTTTTACCACTTAATATAGTAAACATGTACATGATTTGAAATACCTGATTCGTAAAACATACAGATTAATATTGTTGGATGAATTCCACTAATCTATAAATGCATTACTCATCAAGTCAGTATTAGCTGTAAATGGCATGACATTTTTTCAAACATTGATTGCTCCCATTCCTATAATTCTTCCCGTTACTGTTATTTTCAGAATCACTTTGTAAAGAGACTTTCCCAGAAGATGAGGAACATAAGATGGACCAGAAAAAGGAAGATGGAACAAACCAAACAACCAGCTACAACTAGAAGGACTGCCGTGGCAGCAGCTGATTACAGTTTTGAAGGTGAGATCCCATTATTGAAGTGAGTTGAGGGTGAGGCTTGTTGTAAATGCATTGTTAAATTTAGAATGTCATGCTTTGTATGTATACATGCGCTTTTTATGGTAGTTTCATGCGCTCCTCCCATAAGAATTAGGCGCACCTATAAACAAAGTGCGATGTCGTTAAGGTTCAGGTGTATGTATTTAGGTAAATATAGTCAAAACAATTCAAGTTGAGTAAGTTATTCAAACATTCGGATATCTACATGTATCAATAAGATCATATTTATTAAACATGGCTAACATGCTCTTTCAGCATACAAAAAAAAGCTGTAGAAGGAATACCCTGCAGTTTGTCTCCATTGTAATAACTGGCCAGAAGCAACCTGCCCATCTATTTTGGCAAGAAGTTTGCCAGTTTGCCCAGCAGTTGCAATGTACTAGTCAAAATTGCTTGCCAGTTGGGAACAAAATGCACATAACATATTGATACAAAATTATGTTTGGATAACAATGGATCTCATATTTGAGCTTTGAGTGGTTTAGCAGACTAAATGTGATACTTGTCAAGGTCCTTATCAAAGAAAATGGATGAAACAATAATTTCTGAAAGAGACTGCTGACATAAATGTGGCATTAATTGACAATAAACCATGCAAACCAAAACAAAAAGACAATTAAAATACCAAAAAGAACAAATTACATGCATGTTTTTGAGATCATGTGCATGTTTACGTGTATTGGGCACAGCCTTTAATGATTAGGTGCTTAATGTTAATCTGTTTTATTTTTTTTGTTTTGTTGACTGACTTTACACGTGTTGATATAAAACATATTTTAACACATCCCTTAAACCAAAGATACCGGGCTACTTTTTTATGAACAAATCAGGATGTAGGCAAATTTATTCAAGTAACAGACCAGTTTTTCAATTGTTTTCATAGGCTTTAACTCTTTGTAGATTTGATTTTTCCAAATAATTCCTGTAGCTGATGGAGACAGCCCCGAAGAGCTCTTGAAAGTCGATCAGCTCTCTGAACTGCAAAAGGACAAGCCTGACAAGGCCAATATTGGACATCTCCAAAAACTGACCTTTAACTTGCGCAAGAGGGAGAAACCGACTTTTCATGACTATCCCTTCCTCTTGGAGGAAAAGTTTGTAAGTTTACACCTTGTTTAACTTTTTACTGCAAGGGAACTGCAAGGGATTTAGAATTTCATTATAAATATAAGACTAATTAAATTATTATTTCCACATTTGATTGAATGTTGTATTTCAACAAAAAAAATTGGGAGTGCAATTTGCTTTATGCCGTAAGAGGATCATTTCAAGTATTAAAACATACATTTTTAGTTGGAAGAAAGGCACAACTTTATCCCACTTGGAAATGAAGAAAATGCTATTACATTTCATGACTTGCTAACTGACATTTTGCTTGTTATGCATGAGTATTTATGGCCACCCATAATAACTCATTTACTACAACCTGTATTTCAAGTTGTATAATCAATCTGACATGATGTAATTTGTCATAAGCACACATTGTACAGAATGTATTGGGTTTATGTTAGTGCGTTTGTAAACATTTTCTTTTTTGTATGTATTGTATGCAGATAAAGAGGGAATTCTTCCTAAGGCAACCAGAAGTGTCAGAGGCTAGCTTACAGCAAAACTGGACCAGTCTAATCAACATGGTAACGGAGTGCACCAAGCAGGATAGATTTGAGGTAAGTCTTACATGCACTTAAAAAAAACTTACACTCAGTGGATTTGAAGACTAGATAATTCATCATCATTGAAGGTGCTACATGTACTATTGACCTTTGATAGATCTTGGGATGTGTTGTCGCAGGTTATTTTTTATTTAAAGAAATCTAGAGATGTGCTGTTACAGGATATTTGTAATCTAAAATAAATCTTCGGATTTTTTACTAAAAAATATTGATAATTGATGGCAATATGTTGGCTTAAATACAAGCAGGCACGGTTTTCAAAGAATTTTAATGATTAATAACAAAATCAGGAAAGGCTGACTCGGATTTCAAGGGCAAATTGATTACTGAGGTGTTGCCTATATTATCGATTGTTTTGTAAATAGGGGTGCAACAGTCTGCCGTTATCATTGACTTATTGTCACATCAACTCTGCAAGGCACCCGGCACTCCTCTAATGCCCAATTTTTTCTTTAATTGATAATTGAAGTAAATCTCGGAACGCTTCTTTTACTTTAAGAACACCGAGGGTGAAATCGGACTACTTAAATACGTAGACACCAAGATTGCCATAACCAAGAGGGTCAAGAAACTTCAACCAGCAATATCGGTGGAAAAAGTAAGTGCAAACTTTTCTTTTGTTGTCTTATATTTTGCCTCAAAAATTATCCAATAAATAAATACATACATGCTTTACATTAACTTGCCCATGAGAGTGCACAAGCACATACATGAAAATGGTTGCTGATAGCCCATTATGCTGTATGTCTTGTAGCACCTGCACTATATTGTATTACAGAATATTTACGTGTAAGAAACAATGAAACCACATAGTACTGGGGTGGTTGCGGACGTGTCGGTGAGTAATAGGCAGGGGTAGTTTTGTGTGCTACAGTGTCTGGTGAAGGGTTCCCTCAGCAGTGTGTAGTAAACCTTATTTGTTTACTGTGCATAGAGAGAAATGTGTTTGTGACAGTGTTTGACTGGTCAACATTTTCAAATAGTTAATCAAATGTCTTTCGTCAGGGTAGGTATTCTCTAATATAACATTTAGACAAATGCTAGTAGTTGGCATGCGCAGAGGTCCTTATGATTATAATTTAATTATATGGGTTACTCGATGCATGAACACACTATGATTATTGATGTCATACCATGATCTCTATGGGTGATGCCACAAAAGAAAAAATAGTAATTTGTGTGGGTATAGGGTCCTATGAAATAATACGATTAGTTCAAGTTTGACTTGCATTACACGTTGTGCACACAATCAGTGCGCTGTATGTAAATGAGATTCCATCTGCGATATCTACAAGTCTATAATTTACCTGTGTGCAACCATCAGTCCCTAACTAGCTTACTTCTGTACACATGGTAATTGATTCTTTCGTTTATCTCCCTGTTTCTCTTTTAACCAGGCCACGTACATTCCCACGTCTGTAGCTACCGAGGCACCTCGCCTAGTCATCATATCACATGAAGACGATCATGAGCTGTCCAATGGGTTCCTTCTACATGATGGTAATGTCGTAGAGATGAGGGACACAAAAAATGTGATGGAGATGGTCCTGTTCTTGTCCCAAGCATACTATGCCTGGGACCTTCAGTATCCAATACAGTACCAGGTTCTTGGTTTCCTGCAACTGTTTTTGCTCAAAGACAGACTGTCTCCATTTGAGCGGTCTTGCAGTTTCTTCAAAGTTGAGAAAAGATTGCGGTCCCTGCAACATGTTGAATAAGCACATCAAAACAACATAAAAGTTGAATACTTCCAAAAATGTTAAATAACTTTGCTATGTTCACTTAGGATTTTTAGAATGTTAAAACTGTTGACGTCATGTTCATGTCATCAACAATTCCATTTTTAAAAACATGTATAAGGGAAGTTCCTATTGTCATGAAAATTGGTGGGAAGCTAGATTGTTGAAAAAAGTCCTGCTTTTGACCCTAAAACTCTGTTGTTTACCAATTAAATTAAACCAAATTTCAGATCATGTCAACAAGGCATGACACATTTTATGGGGCAATTTGTATCAGCTTTGTGCAAGAGGGTGAGATTTATACGTCATGCGCCAAAAAAATAATCACTATTATAATCTGCCAATTTCGACTTGGCGTCCTCCATTTTCGAAATAGAGCTGGAGACGGTGGCAAGGAATGCCGTATCACCCCTGATGTCATTGCATACCTTCGGTTGGCGCAACATGCAATCGTAGAGTTGTGAAATGACATCAGGAGTGATCCTGCATTCCTTCACAGAAGCTGTCAGCAGCAGCATGCCCCTTCTGCCACCGTTTCCAGCACAGTATCAATTTTCTGAAGTGAGTTTTTTTTTCGTATGGCGTATAATTCTCACCCTCTTGCACAAAACTGATGAAACTTGCTCCATAAAATGTGTCATGCTTTTTTTACAAAATCTGAAATTTTGGTTTAATTCCATTGGCAAACAAAAAAGTTATTTAGGATGATGAGTAGCCTTTTTGATATGTAGTACGTGTATTAATATGCAAAATCCAAAGTGTAACTGAAATTATTATTTTAAAGAGCCCATGTGCAATGTAATTTTACATGCAATCCTTGAAAATGCATGTGCCATTTAATCTTATTTTCAATTTTCATTTGCCATTTTACCTGATATTTTGGTGCCTTTTATGTTTTTATGCCATTGAGAATATTCATGAGTAAAAGATGTCATTTGAGGCAGAAACCACTGATGTGTTACGGCTATTTCAGCACAAAAAGGCACCAGATTTTGGGACATTTTGTCGCTGTAAAATGTTCTCTTTTTTCACGGATTTGTTGTGTCAGTTCATGGCCTGTAGGAAATGACGTCATTTGAACGAGACCTATATTGGCAGGATGTTGTATTGACGGTGCTCTTATCAGGGTTCGACTGTACTTTTTTTAATGATTATAAAGGTGCACTTTTTAATAAAATCAACTCAAATGGGATGTCAAGCATTCAATGAAGAAGAGCATGGTGTCACAAGATGTGTTCCTCAGGAAAAAGAAACATTTTATGGACACTAAAAGGTTGAAATTGTGCATTGCTAAAAGCTAAATACAAAATTTGTATATTAAAAAATGAAATGAAATATGAGCTATTTGAATTAAAAGCAAAAACTAATTGATTTTTTTTCTAAAATTAAATTCATTTAATTTTCTTTAAATGCTAAATGAATTTCAAACAAAATTATGAAAATGTTGGACATTAAAGTTTGTTAAAGTTTGTTCAAAATGTCTTAGAATAAGTTAAAAAGTTGTAAAATAAAAAAAAAGTGTA